CTCATTAAAATGCAAATCAACATTTTTGACATGCGTTTTTCTGGATTTTGTTGTTGTTATTCTGTCTCTAACTGTTCAAATAAACCTACCATTAAAACTATAGACTGATCATTTCTTTGTCAGTGGGCAAACAAACAAAATCAGCAGCGGATCAAATACTTTTTTCCCTCACTGTATATGTTTTCAAATATGTGAACTTGAGACTTAATTTCTTGTTCTGTCTTTCTCCCTACCTCTTTCTCTAGAAACCTGAATACCACCTCAGTTCAACATCAGCCTTCTATTGTCACGCTGCCATCAACACAACTGCATTAAGCCCTAAGCTGATTCCTGTCTTTCTGCTAGGGTAGAGCTGTAACTGTCATTAGGGTTTTGTATCACAAAGTTGTTCTCTTGTACCGTCTACCCTTGTTTACTTCCCATTACTGAGCTGAGATAATTGGATAAGTGTAAGCAGCACTTTGAGCCTTTAACAAGCCTAACTCCACACCTACACTTCTGCCTGCGGTGTATGTTAATCGGATGTTGGGCTCCTTGACACTCCTCAAACCAAATTCTGCACGTCTCTGCTGCTGCCGCCAAGCTTTCAGAGTGGAACTCAATCATTCATAAAGAATTGTATAAACATATGTACAATTATTTATTGTATTTGTAAATTATATTTTTATTTCTTTAAAGACCCATGACAAACGTGATGTATTGGTATAACATATATTTTATAACTGTTAATAATAAAAAGGAAAAACTGGTTTGAATTATTTTTAGGGCATGTTGTCATTTGAGAACCTATTTCTCATTGACTGCACACGCTGGAATTGGCACACGGTTATACCCAGTGTTGCCAATTTAGTGACTTTGTCGCTGTATTTAGCGAGTTTTCAGACCCCTCCAGCGACCTTTATTGGTAAAAGATTACAACGACAAATTCAACTACTTTTCCGTCTGCCTTTGGGGAGTTTGACACCAAGGGTTTCTATGGTGTTAATAGCATTTAGAGACTTTTCCCACTCTATTCTACCGCAAACGAGAGCAGGAGAAGCGGTCTGTGCAACAGAAGTCACAGCAGTGGTGCACACACAGGCATAAAAGCACAAGGGGAGGGGGTGTGCAGCGGGAGAGGGTGCGGAAACGCTTTGCCTGGGACCGCAGCTGTGCCGCAGCAAGGCAAATTGGTGCTGTGACTTCGTGGCAATGGTAAAACGTAATCAAGCGACTTCTAGCAACAAATCAAGGAGCCAATAGCGGGGATCTCACTGAGAAACAGTTGGCAACACTGGTTGTACCGCCCAAGATAACCTAAATTCTAGCTGATGAACTGCATCCTGCACTACAAGTTCAGCACCAGCACGCTCTTGGTGTCTTGCTTCGGGCTCAAATCCAAATGGGAAAGTGATCTGTGCCTCAGCTGCCTCTTCTAGCACCACCTCTTCCTCATCAGATTCTCCAAAAAGGGAAGACCCAGGGGAAACAGAGTTCCTGCTATGCTCATAGTCGCTGTCTGGCGGACGTTTACTCTGCAGTGATATGCTAGCTGGCAAGTTTAGTTAGCTGGCTAAAATAGCAAGCTAGGCTTCTCACATCGGAAGTGCCGCTCTCGCTTTGTTTGGTAGCTAACTCGGCCTACAGTCCTTACCATGATGGGCCCCAGCCGTCAATATGTAAGTCTCCGCTCTCTTTGCTTTTTTTTTGTTTATCTCCTGGAGGGTTTTGTTTTAGTTATGTTCTGTGGGTTACTGCCTGTGCTCAATGGTCTTCATTGTTGTACCGTTAGCTGGCTAGGCTAGCTAGCTGGATAAAAGAACTAACGTTAACTGGCTGGCTAGTTTGCTGGCTAAGATAACATTAACTGCATATAACACTTTGATAACTGGTTAAATGTGGTTATGTATTTCCAAAACATTGGTTTACTTTAATGTAGTTGTACAGCAAGGTGTTGATAGCAACTGACTGACTCCTGAAATGCTAATGTAACGTTAGCAGACTGGTAGGGCTAACATTAGCAGGCTAAGTTGGCTAGCAACCTTGCAAGTATTTGCTTGTAAGTTGGTTGAAAATTAAATAGAAACCAGTAGTCATGAGTGCAAACGATTTGGTTTAAGTTATACATTTCAAGTTATTTCTGTTGGAGTTTACATCATAGGGAACAGGCTGGCTTGCTGGGTCCTCCATATTACGTCACACCCCGTAAATATGACCGACCGGCTCGATTCAGCCTTATGAAGTAACATTTGAAATTGTGTTTTTTACATTGGATAAAAGTAGAGACTCAGAGCTAGAAAATGGTATATCATACACTACAGTTGAGGAATAATGGGAAAGTAATTCTGCTTTGAAAGTTGATAAACTTGTAACTTCACTTTTGAGAAAATTGTCCTTGAATGTTTTGGTACACCTACTAGAGAGCTCTTCTTTGTCTACACCCATTCAGCATCATTCACACCCTCTTAAGCCTTAGCCACACCCATCTCTTTAAGGATTCACATGTGAGGCCATGTACTTAAACACCCAACAATTTCAAGACTAAAGGCTGGTTTATACTACGTCTGTCGAGAGTTGTCGCAGTGACATCATGAACATTCTATTGTCATCCGACATCAAACTTGCCGTTATGAAAAAGTATGAACACAAACACTACAGGCTGCATGACTTAAACAGCACGGTGGTCCAAAATAGCATAAATAGTGTATTTTAATAATAAACCCACCTGTTTAAAAATGAATTTAGTATATGTCAATCTAGCAAACCAGGCAACTAAAAGCAACTTTCTAAACAATGTTTTGGTTTGTTTCTAGCTTGTTAGCTAGCAAGCTAATGTTAAGTTAGCGGGCTAGCCAGTTCAAATAATGACCATATCATATAGCTTACAATGTCTTCACTTTAGCTCATTTGTCTTCATTATTACAGGAAAATAAACTCACAACATTATCATTATTTACAAGTTAATGTCGAGCCAATTACAGAAAATAGCTTACGGTTGTGAGTGTGATGAAATAAAAGCAGGGCATTCTACCGGAAGATTTTAGAACTTGGTCACTGTCTCGCTGGCCTAACGTTATATCCTAATTTCAGACATGTTTATCACATTACTGTCTCTGGTAAACACATACTTTATCAAATAAAATCAAAGTTTATTTGTCACATGCACAGGATACAGAAGGTGTAGTGAAATGGTTACATGCATAGTGGAGTCTTTTGTTTAGACATGTAGCTAGCTAGCTAAACAATGAACCATAATCCCAACTCATAACGTTACTGCCCTGCATGAATCTGCAGGTAGCTAACCAACCAGGTTCAATGTTAGCTAGCAGGCTAACATTAGGCTATAACTAGCAATGCAATTTGGCTCTGAGATACAAATAATATTACTACACAGATCATACACGTAACGTTAGCTAGCGAGCCAGCCAGCTAATGTTAGCTAGCTAGCTTTCAGTATGTTTTAACTTGAAATGAAAACGACTTCCTGACAGAATTAGAAACGTATAATTTCTGAAAATGTAGCTAGCTAGACTCTCTTACCCATATACGTGGATGGACGCTTCTCCCTCTCTTGTCACGGATGCCATGGTTGCCTTTAGTTTGAAGATTTAATCCGGAGACAGGGGTTTTATACAACAGCCTTCTATGTGTTCTCTTTTCGACTCCCTCTGCATATTTGCAATCAAACACCATAATTTTCTCCATCTCCTTAGCTATCATACTCTAATTCCACCGGGCATTCCACTGATTTCAAAACTCGGTCCTCCAGAAAGTGGAGAGCAACACACTTGCACTTCTACTACGTGATATCTTTCAAATTAGCCGCTTTAGAAAGGATTACCTACACATACTGACTAGCTCATGTTATAGACAGAAGCGTGCTACATGGCAGACCAATCCGAACTCATCTCTCGGCATGTCCAGCCCATTCATTATCTCAGCAAATCATGGCCGTGGCTAAACCAACTAGGCTCGTAATTTAACAATTGTATTCGTATTTACAGATGGCATACAAGTTTGTTATTAAGGCACATTAAGTTCACATGTTCCAGAAGGCGTTCAAATGCCTCTCCTGTGAAGTAGTGATGCGCGACATACGCCTAGTTTCCTGAAACGAGTCACAAATGTTTTTTCCGGCATTCTTCGGAATTGTGATCAGTTTCATGTAATAACTCGAAAAATAGAAAAGTAAGGTGTAATTTTGCTTTGGGACTTTTGATGCATATTCTAATGCAAATCCATCCATATGTTGCATGTGGTTATGTTTATGCTACCTACCCTTTAAGGGCAACCAGTGGAAAACAGGTGATTATAAGGCGGAGTTTGCATCGAGTGAAAAGTGATTGCATTCATTTTGAAACCGGGCTACTTCCCGGCGTGAGCCAGGTGCCCCTCTCTGACCGACAGTGTCTGCTCAAAACAAAAGTGACGTAGGTTAAGCACGTGGAGTAATGAAGAGAATTGTTGTATGTTTCTGAACAATGCATCATGCTGCATTGTTGACAATATGACCGAGGAGCTCAGATTACTGTTAGATTTGAGCAGGGCGCGCCTCCCTCAACTGCTTCTCCCGGTCACGTGACAGGTCATAGCCGTGTGCAACCCGGGCCAGCTTAATCGAATCCCCTCATTGGCTTGCCAATAACTCTAGACCAATAACTGTCTTTGTTATTGGTCTATGAAATTATACCGCCTGGTGATGTCACCAGGCAAGCCAAAACTCCATCAATGCAAAACCTGCTGATTAGAAGGTCCTGCGTAAATTGTATTTTCAACCAGCAACTATAAGGAAATAACACTGATCACATTTTTCACACTTTTACCATGTTAGTTTCATCAGATGTTGTACAATATGATACAAAACACCGAAATTGTATGACTTATTTCTTGCGTGTGTGTTTGTACTCCTGTATGGGTACTATAAGTAAATACACATTGAGTTTAACTGATCCTGCTGCATTGTCCTTTTTAGTGTGTGTGTGATGTGAGGCTTTTGTACATGTTTGCTTGTGTGTTTTCAGGGCAGGCAGGAGGGTGTCCACATCGACCCCTGGGAGGATGCTGACTACAGCATCTATAAGGTCACAGACCGCCACGGCTTCCTGCAGTAAGTTAACATGACGTCTCTGACAGTGTTCATCTCTCTTCTGGAGACTTACAGCCAGGGGTTCACCCCAACCATGTTCCTAGATTTAGGGCTTCAACTTTAGCAGGGTACTGGGGTTAGAGTACACACACACACACACAACACACACAGGAGGAAAAGAGAAGGGAAGCCTTAAATCACTGTAATGAACGCGCCATTATCCACTGACTCACCTTTTGTTTGTGTCTTTCTCCTCAGCGAAGAGGAGCTGCTGACTCCCAGCGCAATTGAAGAGAAGGTATGTACTGCTGACCACCTTTGGGTTGATTGATTGATTTGTTGATTTGTTCTGTCCTCCCTTCTTCAGCAAAAGCATCAGGAGATTGAGCGGGTGGAGAAATGGCTGAAGATGGTCAAGAAGTGGGACAAGTACAGGAACAGTGACAAGGTGACCGACCCAGTGCTGACTATACACACCACAAACTCCTCCTCAGCCCTCTCCTCCTCTCTCTCTCTCATTTGTTCTTTGCTTCCCTTTTTTAATCTCACATCAATCTCCAGTCTTATAATTTTTGGGACGGGGGGAATCGTTATTTGTAGTTTTCCTTTTTACTCTTTTAGCCCCTGCGTCTTTCTTTAGATGGTAAAGATAGTGTACTAGGGGAACCTCCTCTCTTTAATGATCACCCCATCTCTACTGATATCTCCTACTCTCTCTGGTTTTTCTCTTTCTGGTCTTTCATTCTGGTCTCTTTCGCTCTCTCCTTCTCTCTCTGGTCTCTGTAGAAGGTGAAGCATGTTTAAGGCAGTTGTCCTAATATATATCTTCCTCTCTCTTTCTCTGGTATCTCTTTCTTTGGTCTCTCTCTCTAGATGGTGAAGCGTGTGTACAAGGGAATCCCCCTCCAGTTGAGAGGCCAGGTCTGGGCTCTGCTACTGGACATAGAGAAGGTGAAGCAGGAGAACTCTGGGAAGTATGAGGTAAGCACACTATAGCACTAAACCTCTTCTCCCTCCATCTTGCCATCTTATAGGCTTGGTGGAATGTTTGTTATATTGCACACCTATTGGATCCTTTCAGATCTACAGAAGAGCGTATGGGGTAGGGGCTAGGGGTTGATTTGGGATTCTGCAGAAGGGTAGCTCTCCTGGAGGAGGGTTGGCTACGCCTTGTATACAGCAGACCTGGGTTTAAATAATATTAGGGTATTTCAATTACTTTCAAAGACATTTGGAAGTAAGTATTTTGATTTTTGTTTTATTTGAATAGAGAAGTAATTGAATTGTGGAATGTATTTGGAAATACACTTGGAAACTGAATCAAATATACTCCCATACATTTAACCCAGGTCAGTTTGGTATTGGTTTGGTATTTTAAATAATGTATTATTCTTTCAAATAGTAGGGTATTTATAGGAAAGTATTTGAAAATACTTTCAAATACTTCCAATAGGAGTAGTTGATTTGGGCCACATTATTTGTAAATACTCAAATACACAGAAAATAAGTATTTAAATAACAAATAATCAAAAACACATGTATTTGAACCCAGGTCTGGTATACAAAAACTGATGTTATTTTGCTTGGTTCCTCTGTGGCCAGACTATGAAGGAGCAGGCCAGGAGTTTCTCTACAGAGATCAAACAGATTGATCTGGACGTCAACAGAACCTTCCGGAACAACATCATGTTCATGGACCGCTTTGGAGTCAAGTACGTCATACTCATAGTTATCACCCTAAAGCCATTAACCAGGGCTGTAACAATGCATGCTATTGGTATATTATGAATAGGGTTGTACGATTCCGGAAACTTTCCCAGAAAGTTTCCAGGTTTTTCAGAAATTCTGCTTGGAAGATTACCTGAACCAGGAGGGAATAAGCAGGGAATACACTTCAACCAGAATTTCGGTAAAACCTGGGAAATTCCTTGGAAAGTTTCCGGAATTTTGCACCCCTTATTATGCAAATCATGTTCATGTGCCGTGAGACACCTGCTACTGCTACACTGTCAGGCACAACCCTATAGACAGTAGGTCTGCATAAGGAATACATTAGTGCCCATGTCATTGAGAGTGTCTCATCTTAGGTGAGAAGTAAATAAAGCTCTGTACTGTATCAGATTCAGATCACACTGCGACAGTCGAGCGACATTCAATACAGCACCTTTTTGCCTTGGGTATCCTCAATAAAATATGACGTTGTTGTGTTAGAGGTTTATTATCTCCTTAACATAATCATTACGTTCCCCTAACATTATCCAGACCACAGAGTTTAATAGAGTATATAGTATTATTGTATCTCTAAGATTCAGACCAATCGCAATAACAACCCTAGCCAGTGGTTCATCCCTAGAGCCTTGTTGCAAAACACCACCACTTGTCGTTAACACTGATTGACACCATTGTGTAAGTGATAAGGGTTTGCTTAGCTTTCATATCGTGTCTTTATGTCTCACTGGCTCCGGCCTGTGTTTTGGATCGGTGTCTCTAAAGCCCCAACTGTTTTGGTTCCCTGGCCTCTGGTGTCCATGTCTGACAGACCCCTAACCTTGACACATACACGCACGCATACTCATACGCACACACACGTTTGTTTTACTATCCTTGTGGGGACCAAACAATTTTTTCCCAATCAAAGTCCTATTTTCCCTAACCTTAACGCCAAACACTAACTCAACATAACCCCTAAATGTTTTTTGTTGTTGTACTTTTAACCTTTTTTTCTCCCCAATTCCGTGATATCCAATTGGTAGTTACAGTCTTGTCCCATCACTGCAACTCCACTACGGACTCTGCCAAGACGCACTGCTTCTTGACAGACTGCTCGCTTAACCCGGAAGCCAGCCGCACCAATGTGTCGGAGGAAACACTGTCCAGCTGGCGACCGCAGTCAGCTTGCAGGCGCCCGGCCCGCCACAAGGAGTCGCTAGAGCGCGATGGGACAAGGAAATCCCGGCCGGCCAAACCCTGCCCTAACCCGGACAACGCTGGGCCAATTGTGCGCCGCCTCATGGGTCTCCCGGTCACGGCCGGCTGTGACACAGTCTGGGATCGAACCAGGGTCTGTAGTGACGCCTCAAGCACTGCGATGCAGTGCCTTAGACCGCTGCGCCACTCGGGAAGCCCATAACCCCTAATTCTAACCCTAATTGTAACCCTAATCCCTCATCACACTGACAGCGTCATTGCACAAAATGGTACGCAGCAGCATCTGGATATGTGTGCAACAAAAGTTCAACATTCATCTTCTGCTACCATTTGTCTTAAGCTGTCTGCGCATTCAGTTTGACGCATACGTTCGAGAAATCCAACGTATGCACCACACAGAACGCACTGTAACTGCCTCTGCAACGCAATGCTGCAAGGCAAACGCAGCATTCCATTGGAAATGAATGTATTTCTGGTGTACCAAAATGCAATGACGCAATGACAAATGGCTTATTATTATTATTATTATTAAAGAGGTAATATGTCAGGCCTATTGGGCCAAAATCAATGATAGCCTATTGTATAGATAAAAATGAACTAAACTTTTAAGAGATCCGATTTTTGGTTTATAAATACTTTGCTACAATGACACACTTAGCTAGCTTTATGAAAATATTTAGTGAACTCCATGACAGTAGCTAAAGCAAGGGGCTATAGCAGTAGACTACAAATGCATGCTGGACCGGGCATGCCCTGAGCTCGTGAAGTGAGCGGTACTGGAGCGAAATTGGAGTGTGTGAGAAGGCAGACGCTCCAGCCTTTGGGAAACTCGCTCCGCACTCCAGTCAAATTGGGCACGCTCACATACTCTGGTCCCCACAAGGATAGTAAAACGAAAAACACACACAGGCACATACACATGCTAAAACACACACCACACACACACACACAGGCATAGATACACAGGCACAAACACGTGCTAACACACACACACACACACACACACACACACAGGCGTGTGTGGGATTGGGCACTCAAACACACATACACACACTAGAACAAAACACACAGACTAAAGCAACCCAAATCAAGATTTTCTTCCTCCCTCTGTGTTTTATTAACCTTCCTGTCACAGAGTGCTTCACAAGAAATGGCACTCATATGGAAACAAACACACACACGTTCTGCACACAGAGAAAAATACATGCATGCACACATACACAGATAAACATTACATTCATACACGCACACGCACACACACACACACTCACATTCATACCAGGCACACATAAATTGTACACACAGTCACACATTCTGCCATCCCCACTGCATCTCAGAATATCAATTTGTTTTGACTCGTCCGGCTCAACTGAAATACCATATAGGCTTTCCATAAACAGTCCTACTCTCCATTATATGTGGTTGAGTTGAGTCCTACGCTACTTCTCCCTAAGAATTACATTTCCAGTTAAATCCAAAAGCCACCAATCCAAACAGACCAGAATATAACATCCTGCCTGCAGTACCGCTTCCCTGCTCGTCAACAGCTGGACATAGTGAAAGAGAAATACTGAGCTATTTAAAGCTCCCAAGTTCCTGGCTCTGGGTGCATTCCAAATGGCATCCTGTTCCCTACATAATGCACTACATAGTGTCGCGTGGGCGTTTAATTAGTGGGATCAGGGTGCTGTGGTGTGAGTCCTCAAATGCATTCAAGAGAAAGGGAAAGGGGGATACCTAGTCAGTTGTACAACTGAATGCATTCAACCGAAATGTGTCTTCCGCATTTAACCCAACCCTTCTGAATCAGAGAGGTGCGGAGGGCTGCCTTAATCGAAGTCCACGTCATCGGCGCCCGGGGAGCAGTTGTTGTTGGGGGTTAACTGCCTTGCTCAAGGGCTGAACAACAGATTTTTCCACCTTGCCGGCTCTGAGATTTGAACCAGCGACCATTCGGTTAATGGCCCAACACCCATGAAGGTTAATAAAACACAAAAAAAAAGCTTCTGACTTAACTTACTGCATCTTTAATGAAAGCAGTTGATACGGTTACTATAACAGCTGTACCATATGATTGGTAGAATATATTTATGTCCTGATTCCAGATTTGAATAGCAGAGAAGTAACTTGGTCTAACTTATAATATGCCATTTAGCAGATGCTTTTATCCAAAGCGACTTAGTCATGCGTGCATACATTTTTGTGTATGGGTGGTCCCGGGGATCGAACCCACTACCTTGGCGTTACAAGTGCCGTGCTCTACCAGCTGAGCTACAGAGGACCACTGGAAGACAATCCTGTTTTGGTTTGCTTTAGTCTGTGTGTGTGTGTTTGTTGTAGTGTGTGTTTTGTTGTAGTGTGTGTCTGTGTTTGACTGCCCAATCCTGCCGGCCTTACACACACACACACACACGTATGCATATCATGTGAGCAAATTACACACGTGACCTGTAAACTCTGGGTAAGAGTACATTGTTTGATAACTTATGACCAAATGCACTAGTTGTGAGGATGTGCAGTGTGTGATGAAGTGCTATGGCTATTTGTTGTTTGAGGGGTGGCTTCTCTACTCTCGCTGTGCCTCTGCAGCACAGCCCTGAATCACTGTGACATAACCAGCAGGCTAATAGAACACAGGCCTCTGGAATGTCTGGCACATCTGCCTTCTAAACACACATGCATTACATACACACGCACATACACATGCGACTGCACTTCCTGATTTGGCCTCGTTTTTCATCAACACTCATTAAGAAATGCTAGCGCCCATGACTGAAGGCAAACAAGAGTTGTCTTGGGGGTGTGGTTTCTTGGGTGTGTCTTTGCCATTCAATCACAACAAACAAGGACAGTAGTGAGTACAGCGAGGTAAGCTAAGCTAGCTTCGCTATGGGGAGAATGAAGACTCAACATCTCAAGATGATCAGCTAACAGCTAATTCAGTTCTATGTGTTTAGCCAAGCTTACAGCAGCTAGCTAGCATAGCTTGGTAATAGCTGCAGCTGGCTATCCTATCTACCTGATATTTCTCTGTCAAATCAGTTATGGCAAGATAGCAAGAGCCAGTGTGTGGAATGTATTTCATAAGACACTCGTTCTACAACACCTCGAAACGAAAGTAGCTTTTAACTTAGTTTCATCCAGAGCCATATATAGAGAGAGTTGAACGTTCCGAGAGCGCCACTCTCTCCTCCATAGCTGTTGCTAAGTGATAGTTAAAGCTTCCGCGTTGTGCTGTTTATTTCGGATAGTTTTCCTAGAAAGATGTCCAGTGAAAGCAGATATTTAATTTGTTGACACTAGAAAACATTAAAGACTTGGATGATACACATTATCCCGAATGCTAATCAATAAAGACGTCTGTTCGCTGCTCTGTTTTGCTTGTTTACAACATTTCTTGGGAACTGTCGGAGGCGCTCTTGTATTGTTACTATATGGGCCAGCATCCCCCTCAGAACAGCCTCAATTCGTCAGGGCATGGACTCTACAAGGTGTCGTAAGCATTCCACGGGGATGCTGGCCCCATGTTGACTCCAATGCTTCCCAAAGTGGTGTCAAGTTGGCTGGATGTCCTTTGGGTGGTGGACCATTCTTGATAAACACGGGAAACTGTTGAGCATGAAAAACCCAGCAGCGTTGCAGTTCTTGACACAAACCGGTACGCCTGGCACCTACTACCATACCCCGTTCAAAGACACTTAAATATTTTGTCTTGGCCATTCACCCTCAGAATGGCACACACATACAATCCATGTCTCAATTGTCTGTCTCAAGGCTTACAT